GGTTACTGACATCTCCCTGACCAAGTGCTGTTATTTTTCGGGTCGATCAGAAATCCAATATGGCCGCCACGGCCGCCATTTTGAAAACTATTTCAAACTTAAAGTCAAGTTCTGCTAGACCGATTGAACTGATACTTGGTAGGAATGATCGACTCATGGTCTTGACAAAGTGTTGTTATTTTTCAGGTCGATCAGAAATGAAATATGGCCGCCACGGCCGACATTTTGAAAACTATTTCAAACTTAAAAGTCAAGTTCTGCTATGCCGATTGAACTGAAACTTGGTCGGAATGATCGACTCATAGTCCTGACAAAGTGTGGTGATTTTTCGGGACTATCAGAAATCCAATATGGCCGCTACGGCCGCCATTGTGAAAAACTATTTCAAACTTAAAGTCAAGTTCTGCTGAGCCGATTGAACTGAAACTGTGTAGGAATGATCGACTCATGGTCCTGACAAAGTGTTGTTATTTTTCGGGTCTATCAGAAATCCAATATGGCTGCCACGGCCGCCATTTTGAAAAACTATTTCAAACTATTTCATGGTCCTGACAAAGTTTTGTTAGGTCAAAAGTCTCAAGTGACCTGATGCGATCGCCTTTTGTCCGTCCTCGTCCATCGTCCGTCCGTAAACAATTTACATTTTCGACTTCTTCTCCAAAACCCCTAAACCAATTTCAATGAAATTTTGCAGAAATCTTCCATGGACAAAGGTCAACAAAAATAGTTGCCGGTTTAGTCCTAAGCCCCCAGGGGCCTGAGTGGCGGGGCCAAAAAGGATCAAATTGACTAACATTTCAAAAATCTTATTCTATAGACCCAGATATGGAAGAATCAAATACTCTTCATAGATTGAAGGGTCTTAAGGTGCTTTACCAAAATTGTGAATTTCTTGACCCTGAGTATCACGTTTCCCCCTGGGGAGGGGGTAAACTTTCCTATAGGTTAAATAGGGAAATCACATTTTGGACCAACATTTGTTTAATTTCCATTGGAAGTAATTTAATTTGGGTTAGCATTATCAGTATTAGGTAGCAGTTTGATAGTATGCACATATGAGCCCTGACTAACCTCCAGGGGCTGATGGGTGGGGCCAAAAAGGGTTGAATTGACTGAAATTTCAAAAATCTTCTTCTCAAGACCCAGATATGGTACAATCAAATAGTCTTCATAGATGGAAGGATCTTAAGGTGCTTTACCAAAATTGTGAATTTCTTGACCCTGGGGTATCACGTTTCCCCCTGGGGAGGGGGTAAATTTCCCTATAGGTTATATAGGGAAATCACATTTTGGACCAACATTTGTTTAATTTCCATTGGAAGTAATTCAATTTGGGTTAGCATTATCAGTATTAAGTATCAGTTTGATAGTATACACATATGAGCCCTGACTAACCCCCAGGGGCTGATGGGTAGGGCCAAAAAGGGTCAAATTGACTGAAATTTCAAAAATATTCTTCTCAAAGACCCAGATATGGTAGAATCAAACACTCTTCATAGATGGAAGGGTCTTAAGGTTTATGATCCTAAGGTATCACGTTAACCCCATGGGGAAGGAGGGGGGATTTATTATGGTTTATAATGGCAAATGATACTTTGAATATTACATGTTAATAACTTGATTGAAATTATAACCTTGAGTTGACAGTTTGATACTTTGAAAATTGCTAATGTCTTCATTTTCCTTGTTTAGAATCAGAGGTGCTAGTTTCAAATACTATTTAGTCTTAAATCTGTATGTTAGATATTATTGTTTTTTGTCACTTTGAATAATATTTCTGTTCATGTTAAACACAAAATCAGCTCTCTGTATAAATATATCAGGTGACCGTTAAGGCCCATGGGCCTCTTGTTATTTTTCAGGTCGATCAGAAACACAATTTGGCTGCTATGGCCGCTATTTAGCAAATACCTATTTCAAAGTTCTAATAGGCCGATCTAACTGAAAATCGGTCTAGGAATGATCAGCTCATGGTCCTGACAAAGTTAAGTTAACGTTAAACTTAACATTTTTTTACTCAAATTAGTACATATTTCAACAACAAAAATAAATACTGTAGGACTCAGGTGACCGTTAAGGCAGGCCTATGGGCCTCTTGTTCATTCTGTTACATATGCTTATCTAGTACATGTTTTCAAAAACAGAAATGGTATTATTTTGGTTTTTAAGCTCATTTTGTAAACAACAAACTATTTTTGTGATTTACCATACCCCTTTTGGTACCCCCAGAAACCCAGTTTCGGTCAAAGTTTTACCTTATATTTTCCGCATGTCATAAAATAGGACATCTTTGAACAAAATAAGAAGGTGAAAATCCGAATATACCGGGGCCCAAAAAGGGGCCTTTTATACACCCTTCCTTTACATGTAGAGAATTAACACATATTTGGATTCCATGTATTACATGTAAAAACTTGCAATTCTCTTTTGTGCGTTTATCAAGTCATGTATGTCCATACTACTAATGCGATTCAACGGCTCTTTGAAATTAGAGAAACTTTCCTATGTCAAATCTTTCACTTTTGTCGCAGTTTTTGCACAATCGTAACAACATCTTTTGTTTTGTCAGCTGTTGGTCTTGCAACTCTTGATTTCACAGTTTTAGTTGTTTTCATTAACTGTTCTTTTATTCCATCTATAACTTGCGTTGTCATACAAATTTGTTTCGCAGATTTAAAAGATTTGTTTGCACCTTGTGTGTTTAGTTGCCTGTTGATGTTATGTACCTGTATTTCTACACAATTATCATTCGGAATATTGTTTTGAATTCCACATTGTAAGTTTACAGTCATGTTCCACTCATGCTCAAAGCTGTCTTTGGTATCGAGGATAGCAATAACATAAGAAATCATTCGCCTAAGTCTATATCTTGTGTGTCTGACGGCGAAGCATACAGCCATTCCAAATAAGCGTTCCTTACAAACCTAAAGTATCAATAACTTTATTTGCGGCTCCGAGGACCCAGTCTGTTTTGGCTTTATCATCCATCAAGGAAAACACTGGAGCATGTGATGGTGTAGAGTTGATTTCATCCATGTCCATGGCATCCAAGAATGCTGCAACAATATAGCCATCTGTAACATCGTCAATGAACTGATGATGCGGTCTAAAATGTAAAAGAATAAAATTAATACCTTATTAGATTGCTCTTATAAAATAAATCTATTATCACTGTGACTCTCATTTTATAAAGGACGCCCATGTACATGCAACATTTGTTTTAAAAATTTCTTAAGAACAAGAGGCCCAGAGGGCCTGTATCGCTCACCTGAATATGTTTAGAATAATTGGTATAAACACTACGTGTTTAAATTATTATGGATTAGATCCGTGCCAATTTTATACTAGCCCCGGTCTAGCTTGGAATGCAGCATTGAAAATGACAGGTGTGCAATTAGATTTACTAACCGATCCAGACATGTATCTATTCTGTGAGGGTGGTGTTCGCGGCGGCGTATCTATGTTTTTTAACAAGTACTCGAAAGCCAACAACCCATACATTCCTGAAACGTACGATGCATTAAAACCAAACATATATTCTATATACAGACTGTAATAACCTATATGGGAAAGCAATGATGGAACCATTACCTATGGGGTATTTCCGCTGGGTTGAAAATATAGAGGAATTTGACATTGACAGTATTTCAATAGATGGAGACTTGGGCTACGTGTTAGAGGTAGATTTAGAGTATCCCGTTGCATTACACGATGCACACTCCGACTACCCTCTAGCTCCCGATCGGAGGAAAGTTTGTAATGATGAACTCTCCCCATACAGTAGAGACCTTTGGAACACATTACATGGTAGCCATTCCAATCTAAAATTAAAAGGTCGCGTGAAAACGGAGAAACTAATTCCAAATCTAGATAATAAAACAAAATATATCTGTCAATATAGGAATCTGCAGCTGTATCTAGATCTCGGCATGAAGATTACCAAAATTCATAAAATTTTAAGAGTTTAGACAACATCCTTGGCTAAGACCCTATATCTTATTTAATTCACAACGAAGGGTTGAATCGCAAAACGACTTTGAGAAAAACTTTTTTAAGCTCATGAACAATGTTGTGTTCGGTAAAACAATGAAGAATGTTAGGAATCGAGTAGACATAAAGTTAGCTCATACTGAGAAAAAAATAAAAAAATATTGCGCAAAACCGTCTTTTGAACGATTCAAAATCTTTAGCGAGAATTTGGTGGGTATTGAGAATGCAAAAACCAGATTATTACTGAACAAACCGGTATATGCCGGACAAGCCATTCTAGAGCTCTCAAAAATAGTCATGTATGAATTTTATTACAAATATCTCAAGCCGAAATATCATGACGGAATGAAGTTATTATTTACAGACAGCGATTCTTTCGGTATCGAAATTGAAACCCTCGATCTATACTCGGATCTTCACCAGGACAGACATGTGTATGATTTGTCTGATTATCCACCATCTCACCCTTGTCACGATTCATCAAACAAAAAAATCCCGGGATACTTTAAAGACGAAACGTCATCACATCCCATTTCAGAGTTTGTCGGTCTTCGTCCAAAGTTGTATTCTGATGTAATTTGTATGCAAGAAAGGTCTGTTGTCGAGAGTTGTACTATAATCACAACAACGTCAAAAGAGAAACAAGTGGCTAAAGGTGTCACTAAAACAACCATTAAAAAAGACTTGCGACACGATATGTACGTGAAATGTTTGTTCGATAAGACGAACAAGATGTGTGAAATGAATTCAATTAAATCAAATAAACATCAGTTACATGTATATACAATCAACAAATCGGGGCTATCACCTTTTGATGATAAGCGTTACGTACTTCCTAATGGTTGTGATACGCTTGCCCTTGGCCACTACAAAATAAAAAATATAAACACGTTGTAACCCGTTTATGATTTCATTGTAAGAAAAACTGTGAATGAAATAGAAATACATGTCTTTTCAATTATCTGTGATTTGTACATATTGATTGTTAAATAATTTGATATTGAAAAATAAATGATTTAGTTGAATAAAAAAATTATGTATTGTAGTGACTCTGTTACGAGTTCCGGAATTCCGACTCCGCGCCGGTTCGCAGCAGGCTTTTATTTTAGTTACCTTGTTATGATTTCCGTGGTAGTCCATGCACAAATTTGCTCAGGCAATTTTAGGGATTCCAGCCCCCCACAAGAGTAAGTTTGTGATAGATTTTGTGTAAATCATGTAAATGAGTTATCGTTAATTGATTACTTTCATGTCAGCGTCGTAGTATTTTTAATAGTGATAGAATTCTCGTTTTTCTGTGCGCGTTGTTGACTTACTTTCGTTTTAACAAAGCGTAACATGGTAAAAGTATAAACTGTGTGTATAGTGTATTAAGCTGATAGTTTCTGTTCGGATTACATATAATCTAAATATATAAGTGATACAGTCGATTAAGATCGTGCATATGCGGACATTTTGTGACTTTGGTTAACATTTATGTCATTTAATCATTCTGTCATTTAATTACGGTGAAAGCTGTGAACATTGTGTTTAGTGTGTCATTGTTTTTGTTTTGTAGTTTTCACCCTCTCCGGGGGTTTTTAATGGAATAAAGAGTGCTGAAATATCGACAGTCTCTTGACTTCACAGTGAAAATCCTGCGATCCTGGCTTGGATAGGCAACTATTACCATGGCAACATCATCCTTACCTGACAGGGATCTTTCTCAACATAGATTTCCTGAGTTACGGCGGACAAGGAGTGTAACCACATTTGCCGCTGCCCATTATGAGGAGCGTGTTGAAAGATATGTTACCAGACTTTTAGTGATCAGGCGTAGTGTAGATTCAATTTTGTTGGACATTGACTCAAGTCAACACATGAGCCTTGATATAGCCAGTGAGATAAGTGGTGAATTATCACATCATATGGAACAATATAACCGAATATCAGATGAATATATTTCGTATCTCAACGGTCAACGTACCCGTTATGCTGATCATGAAGCAACTGAACATTTTACTGTTGCCAACGAGTTGAGGTTAAAGGTTTCTTCGGCCTTGAAAAAGTTGCAGCCAAAGAGAGATACTATACCGGAAGTTAGATCAATCCGCAGCTCAACGGTTACCAAAACATCCGACTCGCATTTGACGTCAGTCTTGTTAAAACACACTGCTAAAGTTGAAGAAGCCAAAATTAAGCTTCAATATGCGCAAGAGGAAGCTAGTCTCATGCGACGAGAAGCAGAACTGAGAGCTCAAAAGTCAACACTGAAAATTAAGCAAGAACTAGATATTGCTGAGTCAAGTTTGAACGCAGTAAAACAAGTGCTCGAATTTACGTCTACAAAAGACGAATGCAGTGAACGGTCACATCCCTCTTATGTTAGCAAGCGGACTACAGATTTTGTTCAGGATCAGAGAGCTTGTATGCAACCTGCTAATTATCACGGAGATGCGCCCATAGTTGCACCGATACATAAGTATGATGACATACCAGTTACCAAAGCACCACGTGCTCCACCGCCGCCTGTGGTCACTCAACTGAATCCCAACGCTCGTCAATTTGTCCCAGATTCAACACAAACCAAGCTGGATAACACTGCGGTTGCTAAGTTTCTTGCGAAAAAACACTTGCTCACTTCGCGTTAAACTGTGTTTGACGACCAGCCCGCTCATTACGCTTATTGGAAAGCAAGTTTTAGGAATATATTGAGTGAGATCGACGCAACCCCGTTAGAGCAGTTAGACTTACTTGTGAAAAGTCTAGGGCCAAACTCAAAACAACAAGCCATTAACATTCGTTGTGCAAATACACAAGATTTAGATAAAGCAGTCAGACTTATATGGCAAAGATTGGACGACCGCTTTGGAAGCCCGGAGTCTTTGGAGGCTGCACTTAGACACAGGATTGAAACTTTTCCCAAACTGAATAATGCAAACCAAGAACAGTTGTATGAAATAGCAAATCTCGTAGCTGAGATTGAGTCCACCAAAGCTGAACCTAGACTCAGTGCTTTGTTCGCTTACTACAATTCTTCAGCTGGGGTCAATCCTATCGTCAAGAAATTGCCGTTTGGTATTCAGGAGAAGTGGATTAATGCGGCCAACAAATACAAACAGCGGCATTCTGTCGCTGTCCCGCCATTCTCATTCTGTTCATCGTTTCTGCGTGACATAGCCAGGGTGCGCAATGATCCAAGTTTCGTGTTTGATGAACCGCGACCTCCGGGTCACCTTTCGGGTAAAGGACTTACTCGGCAGATGAATTCAAAAGATAAACTACGTATGGACATAAGCAGTAAAAAGACTGAGGCTGCTCTAAAAAATGACTCTCCATCTGATGGAACGAAAGATGGGCTTGAATCACGAGATAACTCTAAGCTTGTTTGTCCCATACATGGTACAGGTCACACTCTGAATAAATGTCGTGCATTTCGTGCAAAACCTTTGTCAGAAAGAAGGGACTTCATAAAACTGAAAGGTTATTGTTTCAGATGCTGTGGACCCGTGAAACATCTTCGTAAGAAGTGCAAAGAGACCGTAAAATGTGACGTTTGTCAGTCGTCTGACCATCCTTCCGCCCTACACCCGGATTCAAACTTTGTCCCTGAGCAGAAGCACGAGGGGGAGGAGAAGACTGAAATTAACAATGCTTGTACCGAAATTTGCAATTCACCTTTAAACACTAGTAAATCATGCGCCAAAATAGTGCTCGCGAAGGTGTATCCTTGAGACCAAAGCCATCGTGCCCGACAGGTTTATTGCATGATAGACGATCAGAGCAATAAATCCCTTGCTGTTTCAGACTTCTTCAGCGCCTTTGGGGACAACAGTAAGGACGTTGAATACATTTTGTCGTCCTGTGCGGGTAAATTTGTGACTGCCGGACGTAGAGCGACAGGGTACGTAGTAGTCATTGGATGGAACTCGTGCGTTGAATCTACCCGAAATTATTGAGTGCAATGACATTCCGAACAATCGTAGTGAGATACCTTCGCCTGTAGTTGCGTCTACTTACCCCCACTTACAGGATGTTGCTTCACACATACCTGAAGTTGACCAGCAAGCTAATATTGAACTTTTGATCGGCAGAGACCTAATAGAAGCCCATCATGTTTTGGACCATCAAATTGGTACAAATGGTCTACCATACGCTCTACGCTTGCCTTTTGGATGGGTCATCATTGGCGAGGTGTGCCTTGGAAAGGTGCATAGGGCTGTGGTAGTCAATGTAAATAAAACCAATGTGCTCAACAGTGGACGTCCTACACTTTTTGAACTCTGCGACAGTGACATTACTGTAAAGTGCGATTCAGTTTTTAAGAAAACCAGCGGAGATGAAAAGCCAGGTTTGTCGATTGAAGATCAGGTCTTCCTCAATATCATGGATGTTGGCTTTGCAAAAACGGATACTGGTCAATGGACAGCCCCTTTGCCATTTTGTGAGAATAGACCAGTACTGCCAAACAACAAGCCGTTTGCTCTCAGTCGAGCAAAGTCCTTTGATGCTACTTCCGAGTCCCGGATATGAAAACACTTTTCAGTTCCGTGGATTCGAAGGCATTATTTAACTATTTGAAAGACATCGGTCTATTTTATAGACTCTGATGTCTTTTAACCCACCTTATCATTTTTGACGTTATATATATATCGCATATTCCATATCGTACTCACTAAGACACTAAAACGAAAAAATTTCATCAGTATAATTCTGGTGTTCAGCAAGTTAACATGTACATGTTAGTTATATAACCTTGAACATATTTTGCTGAGTAACTATCACAGCTTAGTGTCAATGGAAGAGTTTTCTATTTGCAGGAATTTAGGAGATGCATTTAAATTTTGACTAGTTTGACACACCCTGGGATGAGATTCCATGGATCCTTATTTATGCTGGAAATGTCCTCTTACAAATGTCTTAGAGAGAGATTATGACTGCTTCCTCTTTGATTTCCTTCACGTCTGGTGAATCTGTTGCTGTACTTAATGTGGCCCCAATTATATAAGATGTCAGACTGGTAACAATTTAAGTTGAGATAGGAACTTAAAAAATACAAAAATAATATTGTGTAAAAAATGGCATGGTTGAGGATAAGTTTGCATGATACAGGTATTCATATTGACCGTGAAATTCATAAAAATCATATCAAATATAGAAGCAAGTTTAACTTTTCTTGACAATTTCAATTAAGTATATATCTCAAATGTAAAAAGATCATGTTGACCTTGCCATCGACTCATGACTTCATTTCATCACTAATTGAAACATTAATATTATCCGAAAGTGATGTTTATAGTTTTTTCCATTAATTCCCTTAAATCATAATGTAAAAAATAAGACTTTTCAAAATTAAGAGGGTTATTCTATGTAACATTAAAATTGAACATGGAAGGGTCAATTTCATTTGTGAGGGGTCAGTGCCCCATATGGTGGGCCCCTCCAAGATTATCCTGTGTACTAAATGTTTTACATGCAATTGCATCTTATCTCAATATTTATAATATAATATTTATGGTTATACACCAAAATGTATAACTCGAAATAAGGGTGGGGGAGAAGACGAATTGTATTAACCCTATCACTATCAAATAATTCCTAACTTAATTGTTATGTAGAGTGTCTAAAATAAGCAAATATTAACTTTTGTTTACAGAAATACATTTTATTACAGTTTTTAATCATGAAGAAATTTACATGTATGGTGTACATGTAATGACATGCTTTGGTGTCGCGTCGTTTCGGGACTTTTTTTCACCATGTAGGCTATTGAACAGGGGCCTGTAACTAGAAGCCCCCTTAAGATTTAAGATTACCTTAACATTACCTTTGTGTGCTAAGGTGTAACTAGAAGGAACCTTATGTATACCGTTAAGGGTATAACAGTAAAAAGATACGAATAACTGTACTTCTCCCCTTATCGTTGAGTGGGTAACTCGATGTCCTCGTAAGTCTAAAGAGTATACAACGATCATCTTAAGCATTTTTAAGGGGCGGTTTTCTGTAACTAGAAGCACACTTTAGCACTCGTCAGTACCCTTAATCTAAGAGAACAACTAGGCTACCTTAGGAGTAAATAACATGGCGATTTTACTGCTTCTTAATCGCAACCAGGACGTTCCAAGACGTTTGTTTCGAGACAGAAGAAATCCCTTGGATTATCTGAGCGATGATGCAGTTATTGCAGACTACCGCTTAGACAGACGAACAATTTATGAGTTGTGTGATACTTTTGAAGAGGAACTCGAAAGGCCTACACGAAGAAGCATGTCTCTTCCAGTGTCACTTCAAATCATGATTGCTTTGAGATATTTCGCCAGTGGCAGTTCCATGTCTGTCATTGGTGAAGCGCATGGAGTAGGTAAAATGACAGTATCTCGAGCAGTTAAAAACATTACTGGTTTGATTACTCGGCATTTGGACAAATATATAACATTTCCCACAGATATACAAACACAACTTAGTGTTAAACGAGAATTTTACAACATCCGTGGTTTCCAAGTGTTTTGGGGACTGTAGACGGCACTTTGATACCTATTGAAACACCTTCCATTGATGAATACCACTATGTTTGCCGAAAAGGATACCATGCTATGAACATCCAAGGAGTGTGCGACGCTAAATTGAAGTTTCTCAATATAGTCGCAAAATGGCCAGGAGCAACACATGACTCTTTTATATGGACTAGCTGTGGTCTCTGTGCTGCATTTGAAGCAAAGGAAATAACTGGAGTGTGGCTGTTGGGTGACAGTGGTTACGGCTTGCGACCATGGTTACTGACACCAAAGTTGAACCCAAGAACCCCCGGCGATAGAAAGTATAATGCCTGCCACAAGTCTACTCGTTGTGTAATTGAACGTGCATTTGGGTTGTGGAAGATGAGATTCTACCGACCACTTCATTTGGCACCAGAAAGGGCAGTCGCTGTTGTGATTGCAACAGCTATTTTACACAACGTATGCATAGAGAAAAATCTTCCTTTGCCTGATATCGACGAAATGGACGATAACGACAACTACGAAGAGGCAATCTACAACCCGGATGATAATGGCAGTGGGAATAACGTAAGAGAAGAACTGATCAGCAGAGTGTTTTCTTGATTGAAGCTTTATTTCAAAACAAACATTGGTTTCTTATCATTATGAAAAAATAATCAAGAACTTTTGAAGTTCTTGCAAAGTATTCAAAATAAAGAAATAAGACAATCATCGCCTTGTATAGTTATATATACCAAATTCTGTTTGATAGAAATATCGATAACGCAAAATGAATTAAAGTTCACAATTTGACAGACTATTGCAGACAATTTAAGAAATTTAGTTATTTTCATTTTAATTATCTTATAAAAAAAAAAATATATATATACATCAAGCTAATTTGCTTAAAATGGAAATTGACAAATATATGAATCTTCAAACATGACTTCCTTGCGTCAAAATCCAATTGACGAAAATAGTGTTTAAACTAGGAAAACAAAACAAGTTCCATGGTAACCTGTGGAGCTCTCCAATGGTTGATATTCAGTGTTTGGCTGTTATCATGTAAGATAGTCGCAAGTCGGTTACATTTTCTTCGTCTCAGAAGTAGACCACACTAAAATTAATATATAAAATGCAGGAGTTTAGAACACACAGACGCCAGACTGACCAATCTGAATGACCACCTCTATTCACATATGAATCCAAGGTGGTAGTATGGCTCCTAAATATTGTGTAGAAGCTGTTGAATTTGTTCCTCGAATTCTGTTTGTGTTAAGAAAGTAGAACACGAAACTTGGATTAAAGTACAATCGTTTCCTTCTGCATAGAAAGAATTTACAGAATAAATGACGATGTGGGAGTCGTACTTCCTGATACCACCCTTGTGGGAACATCCCAATCGTTCATAAATTCATCCATTTTGTTGCAACATGTCTTTTTTTGCAGGGCTTCATAAAACCATTGGATGTTGCAGCCATACATATGGGCTCATTTCACACTGAAGTCTGAAAAAAAAAGATCACATCATCAAAAGAAAAACCTATGATTTTCTACAAATTGCTGGAACTATATGTATTTGTACAATACATGTATATAGGAATTTGGGATGTTTACTCGATTGGACAAAATCCATAGGCCAACTACAAAATTATGACGACATTCAACCATAATAGTGTGTACATGATATCACAAAATACCGTTTTTAATAAAAATGTTAAGGTATAAATCCCTTTTTATTTGAAAGAAGGTTTACCAGATTTAATGTTTCAAATACAATTTCATGTATAAGTACCAAGCAAACCCACAGCCAACAATGACGTCAATATTATTATAATGGCTAATTTTATATTCAACCACGAATTACTACTTGCATGTACACTTATTAAAGTGTAATAAATGACATATGTTCTTTCTCGTCGTTTCCTATTTCTGTGTCCAGAAGAGTTGAAGAATAGACCGAATTAGCAATATCTTGTCCTGCAGACCTTAGAGTACTTGTTCTACACGGTATGTAGTACTCCTTCAACTCTCTGGCAATAACGAGAACACTTTCTTCGCATTTTAGGCGAGATTTCTCTACTTCTAATCTGTTTTTTTCAACATCTAGTCTTTCTTTTTCCACATCAAGTCTTCTCTTCTCTAACATATACAAGTCGTTATTAGTGTAAGTTGCTGACGTAGAGGTACATGTAAGTGCAGTTTTCCTCTTTTTCGCATATGTAAAACCTTCAACCGGGGGTGTCGGAGATGATGAGGACATTTGCAAAGAGGATGTGTCAGTAGAAACTTCGGTAATTATCGGTGCAGTGTTCTCAACACTTACGGGGGTCATATTAGTACATGTACTAGGATTATTTGTAATGTCATGCATACGTGTATTTTGGTCGATCATATTCCTTATTGCCCTGTCCCAAATTTGTTCATGCGCGGTATTGTCATCCTCTGTTGGGTTAATTTCTTCGTCAGTGTTTGTCGGTGCTCTTGAATCTGTATGGTTACAATCAATTTGTTGATGTCCAAAAATAAAGAAGAGTGATTGATCGAATGTTCACTTGTTCATGGAAACTAACACTAGGTTTTTTTTGTTAGTTATTGTATAGTTAAAAATACAGTTTTACAAACTGCGACTTTTTCATCATGACCATACATTTTTCTTTCTCCTTATTGTCCTATCAACAAGCGTTTGTAAAATAAACTCAGTGATAGAAATAAAATACCTTGTATATTAAGGACCTAAAACCTGTGTTCATGAAATTCATATTACATGAACACGAATGTAAGATTCTATTTATAATATAATTCGAGAAGCACGCTAGCAAAGTATTTTCAATATTGTTTCGCTACAAAGACTCTAGATGACGTTCTATAACTACAAACGCATGTAATCTAACGTGGATATTGGTATCATTAAAGCGAATATTCATATCCTGCCTATGTTACCATCCGACGACATCCGTCTGTCGTCGAGAGCTACTGTATGATATCATGAGCTTGACGTCATGTGTAGTTTTGTCCAAGGCAGTATACATGTAAATTTCAGATAACAGGGAATGATTTTTAAACATGAAAGGAGTACATGTGTACAAAAAGCTACCAGTTTTTGGGTACATTTCGGTTCGAATATGCTCCCTTTTACGTATAGCTTACTTGTTTTTCAGTTATCTAATTGATACCAATTACATTGATGTTTAATTGTTCTCTAACCATATAGCTGACGTCATTGTTTATTATGGGTATACCGTCATTTGCTCGGATGGTAGTATTAGAATATTCTTGTATATATATATGTTTTCAACATTTTACCAACCTCTGTACATCGAATGTGTCAGTGATGTCGCCACTGATGCCGTGGACTGCTGTTACTCCTAACACCTCGATCACTTTCTGCTCAAGTTCACTCAGTTCATTTCCGTCAATTGTTCCACCACCTGTTTTGGCTCTTTCTCTCTTCAGTTTAGCTTCTTTCCCTTTAACAACACTTGCCCAATCTTGCCACTTCTTCCTGACATCGTCTGTTGTTCTTACATTGCTGCTTACTGCATTCACTGCTTTGGTTATAATAACCCATTCTCTCTTTTTTTTCTCATTGGATACTGTGTCAGAGAATTTACCTAATATTATTTCTCTACTGTTCATCACACCTTCTACTAAAGCTGAAAGTTGAGTAACCGAGAAGTTCGGTTTTCTTGTTCGCTTGGAAGCCATGATCTAGTGTTTTTGTTTTTGTATTCAGCATCACGATGAAATGTAATCAGTTAAAAGCTAAGAGGAATTTCGTACGATCAAAAACGCACAGAAGACTCAGGTAAGTTAAAATGCAATATAGAAAAGAAACCAATACTCGGACTCCGGAAAATTTTCCCTTTTCATTCTCGCAAAATGCTGTCGTAAGGGAATGTTACGAGATGTCAAAAGTCACCAAAGGGAAAGTTACTCTTTCGTAGAGGGACTTCCGAGTTACACCCTTATATTTTTCGTAAGGTCCCCTTAAATCCATCCCTTACCCTTGGTGTTAAGGTGGTTTTCTAGTTACAGGCCCCAGAGAGACAGTACAGTTCTCAAATTGTAAAACGTGTACAAACTTACTCGATACTTTATACAAACTAAATCATAACAATAATATTAGACAATGAGAAACTTTACTTTGTTGGACAATTTATTATGATCAAATATAATGAATATTAAAATATCTAATTTAAGTCAATGAAATGTTCTATATAGTTGTGTTTTGTAAATGAACACATGTAGTAGGTAACGGAATGAACACTCTCGCAGAAGCCTGCTGGTTGACATCTCCTGCCTCCTGTACGCTCTCCAAAGTCTGAACAACTTCCCCTGCACCTCTGTTGTACGTTTCCCTCGGATATCATTCTGACCTGCAGGGGGATGGCGTTGGCCTCCTTGAACAGTTCCTGGATCAGTAGGTAGAAAGGCACTGGACCGCGGGTGCTGCACCGGGAGTTGAGACGGTTGTGCCATCCCTCTACATCGTTGTTGGTCCGGATGGACTCGCCGTACACGCTCCATTCATGGATATTGAAGACTCTAAATAGAAACAATAGTTATATATCAAATGTATACATGACACTTTATTTAACTTATATACCGCGGGTTATTTATTCTTCTTCTTGGAGACATGGAAGCATATAACTCTGATGTCCTTGACGAAAAACCCTGGGCAGTTTTATAAAGTACCAAAATAATTGTTGTTTTATAAAGTAACAAAATAAAAAAAAAACAAGTGCCGAGGTGTCCCATTGAAAATGCCGAGGTGACCCGAAAAAGTGCCGAACTCTCCAAGTGCCGAGATGACCTGTTACCGCTTACGAGTAGTCAGGCGGTTAGCCACAGTGCATTTCTTTTGCGACTTTGTCATCCAGCCTTTGGAACAGCAGGCTTTAATTGTTGACCATTTCTTGCTCCGAAAACAACTTCGTAATCCGAAATTCTGTTAAATTCGCACAATATACAGATGAACTTTGTACTCTTCCTTTTCTTTTTAGGTCACCCGAGACAAAGTCTCAAGTGACCTATTGCGATCGCCTTTTGTCCGTCGTCCATCGTGCGTCGTGCGTCCGTAAACAATTTACATTTTCGACTTCTTCTCCAAAACCCCTGAACCAATTTCAATGAAATTTTGCAGGGACCTTCCATGGACAAAGGTCAACAAAA